TGGAGGAGAAGGGATTGTGGCATGGTCATCCGCCTCTGGGGGTGATTTCTCACTTTCTGTCTCTCTCTGTCTCTCTGGTGAGCTCATGCACCCTATAGCAAGAATCTTTCTTTAAAAAAAAAAAAAAGTGAGAGAGAACAGCAGAGCATGTTGGTAATCGGGGAAAGGAAAAGACAAGGAGGGCTGGGAGAAGGAAGGAAAGAAAGGAGGGAAGGAGTGAGGGAAGCAAAGGGGGAAGATGGATAAGTGGGTGGGCAGGTAGGTAGATTCATTGGAGAGAGGCAGAGAGTGAAGGAATGGGGAGAGGGAGAGAGAGCGAAAAAAAGGCCTGGACTTCCGTGGGTCTACTATCCCATTGCAAGCAGGAGAATGAGCAAGGTGGTATTTTACAAATGTTTTCATCATGAACTTAAGGATTATACATGTAGCGTTATACACATGCTTGTGTACAATACGTAATAAGAAAATTAAAGCTTGTAACACTATGTGTGAGCACCGTGATACAATATTTTTGTTTTGTGTTAGATTCTATTTCTTCCTCCTCCTCTTTTTCTAATACTTGCTGCCTCCCATAAATTGATTTTACAACCTTTTGAAATACAGCAGGGCGACACGGCTACATGGAGAAGCACTAGCTCGGTCAGCTGGCAGAAGAAGGGTGTGCAGCTCATCGCCTCTGGCACAGCCACATGGCCTGGCTGCTGCTGTAGCTGTTTCCTCCCACCATGCCTCTCCCACCCCTTCCTGATAGCTCGCCCCTGGCCTACAATGTGCATGCGCTGTGCTTCCTCTGTGTCTGTCCAGTCCATATGCCCTTGGGATTAGTTTTATCCTGTTTACAGAATATCATGGAATTACTAAGTGTAAAAGAGTGGAGGAAACTTTAAAGATAATCTAGTTTTGGAACCAGCAGGTGGTGTGGTATTTAAGGCGCTGGACTCCCACACGGCTGACCTCAGTTTGAGTCCCAGAAGTCTGTGTGTGTGCACGCATGTCCAAAATTCCAAGAGCAGAATGGAGGAGAAGGGATTATAGCATGGCGTTCCCCCCACCGCACCCCAAGAGGGATTTCTCACTTTCTCTGACTCTGTCTTTCTCCAGCAAGCATATGCACCCTATAGCAAAAACCTCTAAAAAAAATAAAATAATCCAGTTTTATTCCTTGTTTTGTAGAAACTGGAATTTCAAAGGTTTGTGACCTCTCCAAACCAATTAATGACACATCCAAAGAATCCAACTGTCACATTCTTAATATTCACACGTTAAAGAAAGAGGAAGGGGAAAACCTGCTGTGATTTTTACTAGGCTGACTCACACTGTAAAGGAGTCAGACCTTATGCAACCCATCAGGGGCACCCTCTACCAGCAGGTGGTGTGGTAGTTAAGGTGCAGGACACTCCCACATGGCTGACCATGGTTCAGGTCCTGAACCTGGTGGCTTGCTTTCTCACTTTCCCTCTCTCTGCATGTGTCTCTCTGGTCAAATTAAAATAAATAAATAAAATTAAATCATTATTTAAAAAAAAAAAAGCATAGCTGTGGTCATGCTGCAATTGCTTCCCATTTATATTCTCAGTAAGTGCTCTAGGCAAGGAGGTGAGACAGAGACTGAGTGAGAACATGAAAAATTTTCAATAAAATTGTGACCACTGTTTTCCTCTGGGTTATTTATCAATTCTGTAGGTATAATCACCACTTACTAGCCTTAAGCAACCAGGCCAAGTGACCTTGCATCATAAAGCAGGGAAAGAAGGAAACTCCCTGAGTGTAATGAGAATAATAATACTCTTGGATAAAATGTCCCGACAGTGGACCCAGGCCTGTGGAGTCTCCCTCTTTTTTCATCCCAAGGTCTCTTTTCCTCTTAGATTCTCCTTTTTTAAAAATACTTAGTTCTTTTTTCTCCATCCTTGTCCTAGAATAGCTCATCAGATTTTCTTCCCCCGCTTGCCAAGCCGTCCCAGCCTCCACCCCCAGTCCCTGTGCAGTCCGTCATGATTCAGGACTAGATTTCCATTCCGTGTCTATTGAGATTTATGTTGACAGCCAAGATGAGAGATGACTGTGTAATGAATATCATTAACATCTTCGGAAAAACTATTTCTGAAGACATTGTACATTATATTGTTTGGTTTTCCTTGTGATAAAGAGCCACATAATAAATATCTTTCAGAATTCAAGAGATTACAACTATATATATATACATATATATGTGTGTGTATATATATATATATACACACACACACACACATATATATATAAACATACATGTATATAAGTAATTACATATAAGTAATGGTTAACCAGATTGCATCTCTCTGTAACAAAAATATGTTTCCCTTTGGTCCCAGAACCAAATTTAATTCTCAACTCTATATAATACTTTTTCCTATTTCTATTTTAAAAGTAATATCAAATATTAAATGTGTCACCTGTAGTTCTTTTGAAGGTAGCAATAAGTATGACATTTTATTGATTTTGACACTGCATATTTGCATATGTAAAGCCCAGAATGCATTACAATTACTCCTGCTCATAATTCAGGGAGCCTACTCTGAAATTCATACATAATAGGGGAAAGATGATTATCAATAAGTAGATTTTGCTGAGTCCCCCGCAGATTTTTTGTTGTCATTGTTATTTGTTTTGTTTTCTTTGCTAGAGGGTGTATATGCTCACCAGAAAGAGAGGGGGAGGGGGGGAGAGAGAGAAAGCACCCCCCCAAAGGGATATGGTCACACTGCTATTCCCTTCTCCATTTCTCCATCTTGTCAGGACTTTAGGCATACCTGCCCACATACCTGGTGTGGTTTTTCAAGCCACTGTGGTTGGCATTCAAAATGTGGTCAGCCATGTGGGATCTGGCTCCCTTAACCACTTTGCTAACGGGGCCACTGGCTCCCTCGAATTTTTTTAAATGACTTTTTTCTTCTTATTAAAGCAATGCCCATTTATTTTACAGAAAATGCTAACTTGCAGATGAACAAAGGAAAAAGTTATCTATGATTCTACCAATCACCGTTAGCATTATTGGTTTCTAAATAGAGCTTGCCAAAATTTTTAATAGCACACATTTATGTTAAGCACCAAAATAATACCTTTCTATGTCACTGAAGGTGGAACACATGTAATATATATAGGTTGCTGGGAAATTCACAATGTATTTTTCTTTGTTTTTCTATGTAAAAATGCATCATGACTTTTTAGACATCCCAGTATATAAAATCCATAATCAAGTCTAATTAATTATAAGTTACTGTCGAAATGTGTGGTGAATAGGAGCCAGGTAAAGTAAATTTAGTCAAAATAAAAGTAACTTTTTCCTATGCTAGGGATAAGTACTAGAATAATGCAGAACCACTTTATATCTCTTAATTTTTAAGATAATGATTTAAAATCAAAATTAAATACAGAAGTAAACATTGAGAAGTCTCACCTTCCACTGTCTTCTCTATTCCTTCACCTGATTTACTGAGAATTCCCTGGTTCTACTATTTCTTAGGGTGGCAATAAGAATATATATTGTCTACTTAGACAAAAAGTAGCACATTATATATATTCTTCCCCATCTTGCTTTTTCCACTTAACTCATCCTGAAGACCTTCCATATGAAAACATAGAAGGCTTTGTCATTCTAAAAGATAGCTGAATAGTAGTCAATGCTGTAGATGTACCATAATTTACTTTGTTCTCTACAGGCCATTTTTCATTATTATAATCAGTGTCAAGATTAATACTCATATATATGTGCGTTCTCTTGCAATACATGGGCATAGAACTATAGGAAAATTTCTTTTTTTTTTTTTTTTTTTGAGATGTTTTTGCTGTAGGGCACATGTGCTCACCAGAAAGGTAGAGAAAGACCGAGAAACAGAAAGTGAGAAATCACCCCCCAAGGGGGATGGCCATGCCACAATCCCTTCTCCTTTATTCTCCTCTCAGGATCTTGGGCATGCATACATATGCGCCTGGCGTGAGTTTAAGCCACTGGATCCGGGACTCGAACCGTGGTCGACTACATGGGAGTCCGCGACATAGCCATTATGCTAACTGCTGGTCCCAACTATAGGAAAATTTCTAAAATTAAAATCGCAGAGCCAAAAGATAAGTTACATTTGTGATTTTGATATGTACTGTCAAGTTGTTCTTTGTAAAGATTATAGTGTTTTCCATTTCTCTTAGCATATGTCCCTCAAGTCTCATGAGTATTCTTTATTTGAAAGGTTCTGTGTGATTTTTTTAAAAGCAAATTCCATTCCAATAATGCTGGCTTGTTAGAACTTACTTTCTCTGAACCTAAACCAATTATTTAATACATTGATTTGAAGTTGGTATAATCATTTATTATTTATTAACATGAAAGAGAGCTATGGCACAGATACCCACACTGGCAGATGATTCAGTAGTAATTCAGTTCTGCTTGGGAATGTGTTATTACTTTCTCCCCATTAACTTTCACTTCTTAGTGACAGCTGTACTGTAAAACATGAAGTTGAACTTACAGTTTTTAGTACAGTTGGCTGTTGGTCAAAGAAGGCCATGGCTTCTAAAGAAGCCAGTGTAGGATTAAAGCTTTTCTACGTTATCTCTAGGATATTAGCTGATATTTTATTGAATTATTTTTGATATCTATATTTTAAAAATATTTACAGTGTGTACATACTAATGCATTTCAAAATGGACTCATAGTTGCTGAGAAAATGAAAAGTCTAACACAAGTGCAATGTTTCATTATTTATTTTCACCCTAAGAAATGTGAATTCCTGTAGGAAAGAAAGTTATTTTAAGTAGCACTAATTACTCAACATACGTTTTAGTAAGATAGTTTCAACATACTATATAAAACGTGCACCCTACTATCTTATCACTTAGGGAGTGGAGAGGCCACGTGTGAATGATGGGGAGCTCATGGTTGTATTGGCCTCTGTATAATCCTCTGAGATTGGGGGAGGGGTCAGCTATGCAGAGGTACCTAACTTAGCCTTTCTCTCCTCTTGCAGCATCTTCCTCAAAGAACTGGAGAAGTATGAGCAGCTTCCTGAGGATGTGGGACACTGCTTTGTTACCTGGGTAACCAACCTGAAATCCTTCTCCCACTGTCCATGCTTCCAGAGTTCAGTGGCATCATTGTTCCATGTCTAATCTGAGAATTGGTGTCACTGTAGCTCTTACACTGGACAGGGGCTGCAGAGAGGGGACATAAGTAGATCTAAGAGATGCAGTCCATTAATGAGAAGAAAGGCCTTCCTTGGGAAAAGTTCTTAGATGTTGTATCCAAGTTCCATTTTAAACTCCCTAGAACTTTCTAAATTGTGAGATCAGAAGACTGAAACTAGACCACTATCCTTGGTAGAGGAACAATACCAACTCAGTCCTCTAGTTATTTTTGTAGGATGTGGATTAGGAAATTAGACCCTTAGAAAGCCACCTAACCATTGGTTACACTTTCTTCCTTAATAGAGAAGAACAGATTCCTTGAGTATCCATCCCAGTTCTGACCTAGAAGATGAGTGTTCAGTCATCCTCTTAGTGTTACTGTCATGGACTGAGTAAATGTGCTGAATGTACAGGTTCTAACGATATAACTGGAACAGTACTCTTCATTGGCATGTCCACTGCACATTGTTTGGAGCTCAGGCCCATGTGCAGGGATGCAAAGATCTTCACAGAGTCATTAGGACACTAAGTGCAACTGGCCATGGAAATCCTTGCCCAGCATCAGAAGATCTACTGTTTAGTAATTGCCTAGTTATAACTTCCTATCAAAATGGGCTAATTACTTTTTTAAATGTCTTCATGATTCAGAGAGTTTATGCTCTCAAGTGTTATGAGTAGTTAAGACAAGCTTGACCATTAAGTAAAATATTTGGAAGATGGGAATATCTCAGACGAGATATGAGGTTGACTAGTACACAGACTTGTAATAAATATCATGGCCAGTCCAAGAGCTCAAGACCTGACTCTTGGACAAGCTTTCTTTTCATTACATCCTAGTGTTTGCTTTCAAGCATGCTCTCATTTCTTCAGGAAATTTCAAACGACCATCTTATTTTGTTCTAATACATGCTGTACCTCTAAATATGCTAGCCAAGTACAGTTTATATTGATGTTGATAAACAATTTATGATTCCTTGCATAGCCAACACGGAAACAAGGTTGACCATTAAGTAAAAGAATTTTGCATCTCATTTCATGAAATCTGTGGATTTCTTTACAATCAACCATAAGTTTGATTTATCATCATCTCTTGGGATGATGAGTAATCCTTAGGAAGTAAGTATATAGCCCCTAAAATTGGTTTCAGAAAACCTTTTGTAATTGGATGAAGTATGCATTTACCAATAATTATCCTAAGATGGCTTTCTTAAGTCTCATAATTTTAAGATATGAGCATAGCACAGGAGGGAAGGATAGTAAGAGTTGTTTGTAATATGTTGAAAGGCAATGGTTAAGACCAAGAAGCTGAAATTATATGGTCTAGGCTTTACCTTCTAATTGGGAATTGAAAGTCACTTAGCCAGTTTGTGCCACAGTTTTCTTATCTCTAAAATGGGGATAATAATAGAACTTGCAGTGTAAGAGTTTCATGAGAACCAGGTGAGTTAATATACGGGAAGTGCTTAAAACAGTGCAGCATAAAGGAAATATATAGTGAACATGAATGTAGGCTGCTCTCTCAGAAGGAGACATCACCCCAAATATCCAAAAGCACTGAAATGGGTAGCATTTCACCAATGGAAAAAAAAAAAAAAGCACACTTGATGGCCAAAATACACACACCTTTCCTAATAAAAAGAGTGTGTAGCACTAACCGAGAGGGTCCGGAGAGAAATAGGAAATGAATTTTCACCACCGTAAGGCTCTTGACCTGAAGTAACAGTCTGAACAGTTGTCGTACAAGCTCTGCCCAGAGAGTCATCCTG